CACTCAAATGTAGTTAAATACCATTACCCTCTCATGGATAATGGAACTTCATAACCATTCCATATTAATCCACATCAAACTACTCGTGATCACATGCATCAAATATAAGTTGTGCCACAACTCTTGCAGGATAATATACCATTACCCTCTTTCAATATAAAAAAGGCATTAGACTCCTCCAGGGTAATCCGTGACTTCCCCTTTCCTGAAGTGCCCAATCCGGACTTCCCCGCTCCTCGGAAGGGCAGAGAAGACAATACTCAGTGGAATATATATAAATAGAAATCCGTAATTTTATTTTCAAGCTTACATTAGGTAAAAAGAAAACGTCCATCCTCTCCCACAGTTCGTGTGACTGAACTCCAGTATCCAAGATGGCCGCGCCGCTCCTTCCGGTTTGACGTTCTGACGTCACGTCACTGACACGTTTCGTCACTTCCGACTTTTTCACAAGCTTGTGAAAAAGTTGGAAGTGACGAAACGCGTCAGTGACGTGACGTCAACGTCAAACCGGAAGGAGCGGCGCGGCCATCTTGGATACTGGAGTTCAGTCACACGAACTGTGGGAGAGGATGGACGTTTTCTTTTTACCTAATGTAAGCTTGAAAATAAAATTACGGATTTCTATTTATATATTCCACTGAGTATTGTCTTCTCTGCCCTTCCGAGGAGCGGGGAAGTCCGGATTGGGCACTTCAGGAAAGGGGAAGTCACGGATTACCCTGGAGGAGTCTAATGCCTTTTTTATATTGAAAGAGGGTAATGGTATATTATCCTGCAAGAGTTGTGGCACAACTTATATTTGATGCATGTGATCACGAGTAGTTTGATGTGGATTAATATGGAATGGTTATGAAGTTCCATTATCCATGAGAGGGTAATGGTATTTAACTACATTTGAGTGGTGAATTTTGCACTAATCACAAGCTGAAGTGGTGGTTTCTCACGAGTGTGGGTTTAGGAGGAGTCACTTTAAGTGTCACGAGTGTTTTTGTTTTGTTTTAAAGATAATGCACTATATTTAGTTAATATTTTTTTTAGGTATCTTGGATGGAAAAGCTACGAACTGGATTGGTTTTCAACACTTGGAAGAATATTTTGTGTGGACTTTTGCTTGGACACTTATACATACATATACAATAATTGTATTTATTATCTTATGTATGAGGGGAGATGATGGGAGTGTATTAGAGGGATTACAGAAAAAGTTTTATTTCATTTTTGCACTTTCAGGGGTGAGAGTGGTATTTTTTTTGTAGGGATACATAGAGTTTACATATTTTATTTACGACTGCGCAATTGTCTAAGTGTGATAGTGCTGAAAGCTGCAAATTGGTCTGGCGGAGGGGGGGGGGGGAGGGGGGGGGGGGGGGGGGGGGGGGGGGGGGGGGGGGGGGGGGGGAGTGTCCGGACTGGAAGGAAAGGGGGGGAAGTGTCCGAACAGGAAGGAAAAGGGGGGGAGTGTCCGGACAGGAAGGAAGGGGGGGGAAGTGTCCGGACAGGAAGGAAAGGGGGGGGAAGTGTCCCGAACAGGAAGGAAAGGGGGGGGAGTGTCCGGACAGGAAGGAAGGGGGGGGGGAGTGTCCGGACAGGAAGGAAAGGGGGGGGGAAGTGTCCAGACAGGAAAGGAAAGGGGGGGGAAGTGTCCGGACAGGAAGGAAAGGGGGGGGGGAAGTGTCCGGACAGGAAGGAAAGGGAGGGAAAGTGTCTGGACAGGAAGGAAAGGGGGGGAAGTGTCCAGACAGGAAGGAAAGTGGGGAATTTTTTCCAGACAGGAAGGAAAGGGAGGGGGAGTGTCTGGACAGGAAGGGGGGAAGTGTCCGACAGGAAGGAAAGGGGGGGTCAAGTTACCGGACAGGAAGGGGGGACAGTTTGGAAAGGAAGGAAAGTGGGGGGGGAAGTGTCCGGAAAGGAGGGAAAGAGTCCGACAGAAGGGGGGGGGGGGAAGTGTCTGGACAGGAAAGGGGGGGAATGTGTCTGGACAGAAAGGAAAGGGGGGGAAGTGTCCCGAACAGGAAGGAAAGGGGGGGGAGTGTCCAGACAGGAAGGAAGGGGGGGGAAGTGTCCGGACAGGAAGAAGGGGGGGGGGAAGTGTCCCCGAACAGGAAGGAAGGGGGGGAGTGTCCGGACAGGAAGGAAGGGGGGGAGTGTCCGGGGACAGGAAGGAAAGGGGGGGGGAAGTGTCCAGACAGGAAGGAAAGGGGGGGGAAGTGTCCGGACAGGAAGGAAAGTGGGGGGGAAGTGTCCAGGGACAGGAAGGAAAGGGAGTGGAAAGTGTCTGGACAGGAAAGAAAGGGGGGAAGTGTCCAGACAGGAAGGAAAGTGGGGAAGTTTCCAGACAGGGAAGGAATAGGGAGGGGGATTGTCTGGGACAGAGGAAGGGGGGAAGTGTCCGGACAGAAGGAAAGGGATATCAAGTTACAGGACAGGAAGGGGGGTATGGTTTGGAAAGTAAGGAAAAGGGAGGGGGGGAAGTGTCCGGAAAGGAGAGGTAAGAGTCCCGGACAGGAAGTGGGGGGGGGGAAGTGTCTGGACAGGAAGGGGGGGAATTGTCTGGACAAGGTGAAGGAAAGGGGGGGGGAAGTGTCCGGACAGGAAGGAAAAAGGGGGGGGAAGTGTCCGGACAGGCCAGAAAGGGGGAAGGTGTCCGTGTACAGGAAGGAAAGAGGAGGGGAAGTGTGTCCGGACCGAGGAAGTGTCCGGACATGAAGGGGGGGAAGAGTCCCATAGACAGGAAGGAGGGGAGGAGTTTTCCGGACAGGAAGGGGGGGAGTCCGGACATGAAGGGGGGGAGTGTCCAAGACATGAAGGGGGGAAGTGTACAGACATGGACATGAAGGGGCTGATGGATCGCAGACAGGAGCGTGATCAACCGTGAGGGACACAGTCCTGACAAACACACCAGACGATGAAGGACAGCGAGAGCAGGGGTACACAAGAGAGCAGACACTGGGAAGGCTCACTGATACAACGGGGGGGGAAGTGTATCTGGACAGGTATAAGGATAGCCTGGGGGGAAGGGAGTCACAGACGTCGGTTGTGAAGCTTCACTAGTAAGGCAGGGGGAAGTGTCCTATAGGAAAGGCATCAAGTGTCCAGACAGGAGAGAAGGGGGGGAAGTTGTGACCGGACAGGCGAAGTGTCCGGAACATGAAAGGGGGGGGGGGGAAGTGCGCTATATAAATCCTCTACGCTCCAGGAAGGAAAGGGGGGACACAGGTTTCCAGACAGGCGGGGGGGGGGGAAGTGTCCGGACAGTCGATTCCGGGCCGGGGGGGGGAGTGTCCAGTCAGGAAGGATAAGAGGACAAGAAGTGTCCAGGACATGAATGCCCCCCGATGGAGGAGGGGAAAATGTACCAGACAGGAATGTTGAAAGGGGGGAATGGGCAAGTGTCTGTGTATGACAGGAAGGAAAGGGGGGGAAAGTGTCCAGACAGGAGGAAATGGGGGAGGGGTGCCGGGGGGAGGAAAGGAAAGGGTCCAGACATCAGGAAGGGAGGAGGGGGGGGGAAGTGTCCGGACACGGAAGGGGGGGGAGTGTTTCCGGACAGGAAGGGGGGGGGGAGCATCTGGACAGGTCATGGGGGGGAGTGTCCTATAGACAGCGAAGGGGGGAGAAAGTGTTCTTGGACTTGTGAAAGGGGGGTACGTGTTGGTTAAGGAAGGAAGGGGGGCAGGGAGCTGTCCAGACAGAAGGAACAGGGGGGGAAGTGTTCTCCGGACAGCTGGACGGGGGGGAAGTGTCATGGACAGAAGGGGGGGGAAATGTCCGGACACGGACGGAAAGGGGGGAGAAGTGTCCGGACAGGAAGGAAAGAGGGCAAGTGTCCGGGACAGGAAGGGGGGGGGAGTGTCTGGACAGGACGGGGGGGGGCAAGGTAGTAGGACAGGCAGGGGGGAAGTAGTGTTCAGGACAGAAGGAAAGGGGAGGGAAGAGATCCCGTACAGGAAGGAAAGCGGGGGGGGAAGGTAGGTCCGGACAGGAAGCGGTGGGGAAGTGTACCTGGACAGGAAGGGGGGGAAATGTCCGGACACAGGGAGGAAAGGGGGGGAGAAGTGTCTGGACAGGAAGGGGGGGGTAGTGTCCGGACAGGAAGGGGGGGGAAGGATGTGCTATGGACAGGAAGGGGGGAGGGGATGCCAAGTGACTCCAGGGACAGGAAGCGGGGGGGGAAAGTGTTTAGGACAGGGACGGAGGGGAGGGAAGTGACAGGACAGGAAGGAAAGGGGGGGGGAAGTGTCCGGACAGGATGGAAAGGGGGGGAAGTGTCTGGACAGGAAGGGGGGGAAATGTCCGACAGGAGAAGGAAATCGGGGGAGAAGTGATCCAGACACGGAAGGGTTATAGAGTACATTTTAGGTCAAAACAGCACAAAATTATTTGAATTTATTTAATTATTCTAAAATAAATTAATTACTGAATTACAATTGTGGATAACTTTTTCAGTCAAATCTGCAGAAATGAAACCCCAAAACTTAGTATCAGACATCATTTTGTCAGAAATATTTTATTTCTCATTTGCACAGATAGCGAATGTCTAGATGGAAAAACCCGAGACAGCGGAGTCAAAGAGATCGACCAAAACTGAGCACAAACTCAGAAGGTGTATCCACAATATATGTGAGGTGTATATCAGGAGAGGCTTCTTTCCCACATGAGAGCGGCGGTGTCTCCAGCAATCAACATTCATCTAGAAGACATTTCCCGCACTCAGGCACTAATACACCTCCATGGGTTGTGGGGGCCCCCGGATATGCAGGAAGACAGGACTTCAGTTGAGGAACATTTCCCTCACTCAGGATAGGAACATGGCTTCTCCCCCGTGTGCAATCTCTGATGTCCTGCTATAGGAGGACTTGTCTGAAAAATACATTTTCCCGCACTCAGGACATGGAATACGGCTTCTCCCCCGTGTGAGATCTCTGATGTGTGTAAAAGATGGGACTGCTGTGAAATAACCAATGCCGCACTGATGACATAGGAATACGGCTTCTTCCCTGCATGCATTCTCTGATGTGTGTAAAGATGGGACTTATCCGAAATACATTTCCCGCACCTCAGGACAGAAAATACTGGCTTCTCCCCTGTGTTGCAAATCTTTGATGTGTGACTTCTGTAAAGCCCTCACTCAGGACTGGACAGGGTGAGATCTTCTGATGTACTGTGTGGAAAAACCATTCCCACACTCAGGACAGGAATACGGCTTCTCCCCAGTGTGAGATCTCTGATGTGTGTTAAAGATTCCGTCCAACAAGAATGAACACGTGTGGGTTATATGTGTCTGAAAAACCTTTCCGCAACCCACACCCAGGACAGGAATACGGTTTCTGTGCAAAACCTTTCCAACTTCGGCTTCTCCCCTGTGTGAGAATCTTTGATGTGTGCAAAGCAGGGACTTCCTTGAAAAACATTTCCCGCACTCATAGCAGGAATACGGCTTCTCCCCGTGTGAGATCTTTGATGTGTGTAAAGATGGGACTTCTCTGAAAAACATTTCTCGCACTCAGGACAGGAATACGAGTTTCCTCCCCCGTGTGAGATCTCTGATGTCTGGCAGATAGGAGTTGAAGGTTTGTGAAAAACATTTTCCCACACTCAGGACAGGAATACGGCTTTCATCCACCCGTGTGAGATCTCTGATGTGGTGTAAAGATGGAACTTCATTGAAAAACATTTCCCGCACTCAGGACAGGAATGAGGCTTCTCCACCCGTGAGAGGATTATATGATGTCTGACAAGCTTTGAATTATTTGCAAAACATTTCCCGCACTACAGAGCAGGGATGTAGTTGCTTCTCCCCCGTGTGAGATTGTTGAGATGCACACAAGTATCTTGTTTCTATCTGTGTAAAACATTTCCGCACTGAAAGCAGACATACGGCTGCTTCTCCCCTGTGTGAGATCATTGATGTGTGGAAAGCAGGGACAAATATCCTTGAAAAACATTTCCCACAACTCATGCAGGAATACGGCTTCTCCCCACTTTTTTTGTGTGAGATCTTTTATGTACATTAAGACCAGATTTTAAAATGGAAAACCATTTCCTGCACTGCAGTACAATAGATTATGGCTTCTCCCCCGTGTGAGATCTTTTATGCTTCATTAAGCTTGGATTTCACAACTGAAACATTTCCCGCACTCAGAACAGGAATATGGCTATATTCCCCTGTGTGAGATCTCTGATGTGTGAAAAGATATGAATTCCTTGAAAAACATTTCCCGCACTCAGAACAGGAATACGGCTTCTCCCCTGGGTGTGAGATATTTTATGCTCATTTAAGACCGGATATTAGTCTTTGGAAACGATTTCCCACACTCAGGACAGGAATATGGCTTCTCCCCCCGTTGTGAGATCTTTTATGCACTTAAGACCGGATTTTAAAACGGAAAACCATTTCCGCTCACTCAGTACAAGAGACCTTCTTCCCTGTTGGAAGCCCGGCCCGGTCCCGCACAGTCTGAGGTGTCCCTCAGGATACGAGGAATGCGATGGGGCCCATTTACACTGGGTGGTGCCGGATGGACATTGAGAGAGGGAGCCGGGGTTTTCCCTGGACTATACTGTGTGATGTCCTCTTCTTCGTACTTTCCAGTCTGGAGACAAAGTGAGACAATCCTCGGAGGTTTTCCTCATCTCCCGGGCCATGGACCTAAAAGACCCAAGAGATTACTAGACATGGAGCCCCACCACGAGGTCAGAGAGTGAGGATGGGGGAGGACAACCAAGTAGGAAGACTGGACTTGATCCTGAAGACCACCTATTATTGGGGTATTGCCTCCTCCCCCAATCCTGAAGACCACCATCATTGGGGTATTGGCTCCTCCCCCATCCTGAAGACCACCAACATCGTTGGGGTATTGGCTCCTCCCCAGTCCTGATCCTAAAGACAACCATCAAATGGGGTATTGGCTCCTCCCCCCATCATAAAGACCCCCATCATTGGGGTATGGGCTCCTCCCCCATTATCACTTATCTGGTTTTGAGGATGTGACCACATATTATCACCATGTAACAGTCTGTGCTCCAATCCACATCATCCGATATAAGTGTCTATGCTGGTAGGAAATGGGGGGGGAACAGAGGAGAAGGACATAAATATGTGTATATATAGAGTGGGGGACGGGGGAGAAGTTATGTAATGTACAACATGGAGTATATAGTGCAGGGGTTCAGGAAGGAGTATGGAATGTACAAACACGGAGTATATAGTGCAGAGGTCAGGAGTATGGTAATGTACAACAAGGAGTATATAGTTGCAGGGGTTCCGGACTATGTAATGTACAACATGGAAGTATATAGTGCAGGGGGTCCAAGAGTATGTAATGTACAACACGGGAGTATATAGTGCAGTGGTCCAGGAGTATGTAATGTACACCACGGAGTATATAGTGCACGGGGCAGGAGATACGTAATGTAACAACATGGAGTATATAGTGCAGGGGTCAGGAGTACGTAATGTACAACACGGAAGTATATAGGTGCTGGGGGTCAGGACTATGTAATGTACAACATGGAGTATATAGTGCAGGGGTCAGAGTATGTAATGTACACCATGTAGTATATAGTGCAGGGTCCAGGAGTCATGTAATGTACAAAACACCGGAGTATATAGTGCGTGGGGTCAGGAGTACGTAATGTACAACACGGAGTATAAAGTGTGGGGTCAGGAGTATGTTAAGTACAACATGGAGTATAATAGTGGCAGGGGACAGGAGTACATAATGTACAACATGGAGAATATAGTGCAGGGGTCAGGAGTATGTAATGTACAAACACAGAGTATATAGTGCAGTGGGGTCAGGAGTATGTAATGTACAACACAGAGTATATAGTGCAGGGGTTAGGAAGTATGTATTGTACAACATGGAGTATATAGTGCAGGGGTCAGGCGGTGCGTGATGTACAACATGGAGTTATATATAGTGCAGGGGTACTCAGGAGTATGTAATGTACAACACACAGTAAACAGTGTCAGGAGTACCAGTAGTCTGCATGGGTCAGTAGCAGGGGGGCGTATCGTGATGTATACAACATGGAGTATATAGTGCAGGGGTCAGGCGTGCGTGATGTACAACATGGAGTATATATAGTGCAAGGGGTCAGGAGTATGTAATGTACAACCACACAGTAATATACTGCAGGGGACGAGGAGTATGTAAAGTACAACATGGAGTAATATAGAGTGCATGGGTCTCAGGACTATGTAATGTACAACACGGAGTATATAGTGCAGGGGTCAGGAGTATGTAAATGTACAACACGGAGTCGTGCAGTTGTCCGTATAGTGCATGTAACAACACGGGAGTATATAGAGCAGGAGGGTATGATAATGTACAACCTAGAGTATATATAGTGCAGGGGTCAGGAGAACGTAATGTACAACACGTAGTATATAGTGCATGGGTCAGGAGTACGTAATGTATCAACACACACACTGCAGGGGTCAGGAGTATGTCATGAGAACAACATGGAGTATATCGTGCAGAGGTCAGGAGAGTATGAATTGTACAACACACAGTATATAGTGCAGGGGTCAGGAGTATGTAATGTACAACATGGAGAATATAGTGCAGGGGTCAGGGTATGTAATGTACAACACACAGCTATATAGTGCAGGGGTCAGGAGTATGTAATGTACAACATATTGTACAAGATACAACAGGACTGATCCTGAAGACACCACCTTCATCTTGAATAACTTCCAGAGAGAACTCCAGCAGGGGTGGTGTCCTAGAAGACTCTTTACATATCAATATATTTATTAGGGGATGCCACTCCCCAATTGTAAACTACTAGAAATAAAGACATAATATGGCCATTGTAGCCCCACGACAACCACGTTAAACCCTCACCCTCTGATGATTTACCCCTCTTCCTGACCACACCACTTTTTGCTGATCGGCACTGAGCTGTTTCAACTGGTAATTTGCGCGGTCGTGCAATGCTGCACCCAAACAAAATTTACGTCCTTTTTTCACACAAATAGAGCTTTCTTTTGGTGGTATTTGATCACCTCTGCGGGTTTTATTTTTTGTGCTATAAACAGAAAAAAAGACTGAAAATTCTGAAAAGAAATGGTATATTTTCACTTTTGTGAAATATTATTTGGTTTGTGGGAAAGTTATAGTATCTACAAGCTATGGTGTATATATTGGAATTTATGTCGCTTTTACCTTCTGACTGCCTATCACATTTTTTGAGGTACAGGGCAGTACAACCCCCCCAAATAGACTGCTTTTTTAAAGTAGATACGCCAAGGATTTTGCAGAGAGGCATGTTGAGTCCATGGAACATTTTATTTTTTACCACAATTTTTTATGTATTAAAAATTTTTTTTTTTCTCTTACACAAAGTTGTCACTTTAATGATATATTGCCCATGCATGCCATAGGTATATGTGGAATAACACCCCAAAACACATTCTCCTACTTCTTTAGAGTATGGGGGTACCACATGTGAGAGACTTTTTGGCAGCCTAGCTACATACAGGGGCCCAAAATCTTTTGGGTTTTGAAAAAAAAAAAGAAAAGAAAAAAAATACATTTTTGTTTTCTTTCTTCATTTTCCAAAAACGTGGCAACAAATGAGATCTGCAAAACACTCCCCATGCCTCTTATCAAATTCCTTGGGGTGTCTACTTTCCAAAAAGCGGCCATTTGGAGGGGGAGGGGCTTCTACTATCCTGGCATTTCAGGGCCTACATTAGAAGCTTCTGCCACACATCACCCACTCTTGAAAACCAAGTCCCTTCACGCTGCTTGTAAAAACAATTCAGCAGCTAATTGGCCACTAGGATTGCTTTTACATGAAAGCTGACCGCCAGCTGAAAGAAACGATCCCAGGATGGCTGTAGCTGTAGCCATCACCCCGGTATAACCACTCAAAGTCCAGCGACGTTCCAGTACATTGCTGGTCTATGTTGGACATACATGTAACAACAGAGAACACGGACATACCATGACTCGGGTCTGTGGACCAATATGACCGCAATTCATTCTTTTCTGTAATGCCCATGTTGAGGGTTCGGCCCAAAAGAGTTTTACATTCAGAAGCCGTGATAGGATTCCATGTGAATTGTCTGGTAAGAGCTGAATTTGGGTGGGCGGCCATGTATTGTTGTATATAAATTGCCTTGGCCCACAATCCATTGGTACAAATCTACTGTGAAAAACAGGGGAGGGGCTAAACGATAGTGCTGGCAGAGAATGGGGCCCACCCTGCTAACTCTGCGTTTTTGGGGACACTATACAAAGGAGGCACTATACTAAGGGGACACTGTACTAAGGGGACACTATACAAAGGAAGCACTATACTAAGGGGACACTATACTAAGGGGGGTACTATGCTAAGGGGACACTGTACTAAGGGGACACTATACAAAGGAAGCACTATACTAAGGGGACACTATACTAAGGGGGCACTATGCTAAGGGGACACTATACTAAGGGGACACTATACAAAGGGGAGACTATACTAAGGAGGCACTGTACTAAG